TACTTGTGTACTCAAGTAAACATAAAGGCATGCTGAATAAATCATTTGGGGTTCTGAATAATCATGTGACTTAGAAAGAACTGGACTCTTTGTTTGTGCCAGGCCAGACCTAGGACTCCCGCATAACAAAAACTAAACACCAAATGTGTCATTCCCATTTGGCTTTCTTGCTTTAAGCCAAACCTCTATGGTCCATTTGAAGTACAAACATTGAAACTTTCCTCTAAGATATGCCTTTAGTCATATCTTGATTTTTTTTTTTACTTCAATTTGCAAAGGACTTCTCCCTAAATGAAATAGGCTGGTGATGCTTTCTCTTTCTTTTATCTCCATTTTAGAAGCCGTGGTGGCGCACGATGGTTAAAAATGCAGTATTTGCAGGCTAATTCAGCTCACTGCCAGGAGTTTGATCCTGACCGGCTCAAGGTTGATTCAGCCTTCCATCCTTCCAAGGTTGGTAAAAGGAGGAGCCAGATTGTTGGGGGCAATATGCATACTTCTCTAAACTGCTTACTCTGTAAAGCACCCTAAAGCGGTATAGAAGTCTAAGTGCTATTGCTACGTCAACCACTCCCTTTAAAAAAATTCAAAACTAATTGGATCAAGCACACACCTTGCGTTCGAGACAACGGCGCTTCACACATTTCCACTGACGTTTCATGCCAGGTCTTTGCCTCCGCAAACAGATTGCACAGGTCCCACAGTCCTCAGTTATCTCGCAGGCCTGACAAATGCCACAATCAAGGCCCTGCAAACCAGAATGAGAATGGAGGAGAGGTAACTGTTAAAGCGTAAGACCATGTGTAAGCCTACCTGAAGCTGGAGAGAATCAGCAGAAAACACGGAAAACCACAAACCATGGAAAAAGGAAGGGAAGGGTAGGAAACGCAGGAAGCAGCCTATGGTACCTTGACAATCTTCAAGCATCGGCGCAGCAAGCATTTGATGTCAATGTGGAACTTGGGGCTTTGGGCTCGCAGAACACATACACTGCAGATGCCGCAGTCCTGAGACATCTGGCAGGCCTGGCACACACCACAGCCAATTTGCTGCAAGGGCAGAGGGGTAGGGATAAACAAGGTTCCAGGGAAAGCAATCACCGCAGTGGCCCATCACCTCAAAAGCACCACACTTCACCTATCTGGCTGACCACATCAAAAGCATCACACCGATGTACACATCAAGCCATCAACTGTAATTTGTCAGACTGCTAAACAGAAAAAGCTCACCAACTCTCTAAACTAAAGACACCAGGTGCTTTAAACTATCGTGAACTACTCAGTGTCGCTACAAGACAGGTGGCATGTAAGTGTAATAAATTATTACTATACACACAAAACGTTAAGGCACAGTTGTCAGTTCTTCAACTGATATTGGCCTTTATTGGCATCAAGTCATTCCCAAGAGCCTAGGCTGTTGTAATGTATCAGTGTAATCTATGCGTGTATCCAAGCTGTATAGCCTTTTATAACTGACAGATGGAAATGTTGTCAGTACGTAAGATTTTCTAAGTGCTGGCCAAAGTTTTTTAGTATGGCACCCAGTATGCCAATAAGCACTGGGACCACCACAACTGATCTTTCAATTTTGATTTTCAGATCTTGATACTTTGTGATCTTCTCCAATTTTTAGTCTTCTATTTGTACTAACCCCTGGTATTGCCACATCAATTATCCACATTTTCTTCTTTTCAACCACAGTTGTTGTCATTAACCCACGGTCCTCTACTATCTTGGGCCATGAAGCTCTGCAAAACACACTACTTAGGACAATTTGGCTGGAGATGGGAGCAACCATAATGCCCGACCTGCCAGATAGACAATTTTGTTTTATAGCTCTATCTTATATTCCGTCATAGTCCTAGGAGGTTTCTTCCTCCAAGAGGCAAACAAAACCTTTATCTTTTCATCTTAAATTCAATCTTCAACCCTGCTGCTATCGATAAAGTATATGCTTCTGTACCTCCGCAATATTCTAATACAGGCAGTCCTTGACTTAGAACAGTTCATTTAGTGACTGTTCAAAGTTACAATGGCATTGGAAAAAAGTGATTTGCGAATGCTTTTCACATTTACAACCATTGAAGCTTCCAATTGGTCATGGGATTAAAATTCGGATCCTTGACAACTGGTTCATATTTATGATGTTTGCAGTGTGTCCGGGGTCATGTGATCACCTCTTGTGACCTTTTGACAAGCAAAACCAATGAGGAAGCCAGATTCACTTAATAACTGTGTTACTAACTGAACAACTGCAATGATCCACTTAACAATTGGGGCAAGGAAGGTCGTAAAATGGGGCAAAACTCACTTAGCAACATAAATTTGGGGGTTAATTGTAGCCGTACGTCAAGGACTACCTGTATTCTAAATCCAAAACAGAGCACCTCCTAGTTGGGCTCGACATGCTGGCTACAGATTATAGGAAATGAAGAGCAAAAGCATCTAAGAGTCTCTCATTGGGAAAACCTCTTCTAATATATTCCAACATATAACCAAGTTGGGTTTCAATTACAAACAAACAACTTTCAAATTTGAGATAGAATCATAGCTTTTCAGCTCTTCCATTTTCCAGCTCTATACTTCTCTCTGTCTGCAGTAAAACCATTCTTTCATCGGTTGCAAAGCGGAGAGCAAACACAGAGGTGCAATCATAAAAAATGCAGACTAATAATAACATGCATACTTGTATCTTACAATGTCGCAGTAGCATTTTGATATGATGCAAACTTATATCTAAGCACAGTACCTTTTATACTCACATACCTCAATAAACTTTCTAAATAAAACAGAAAGTGTCACTGTGCCTTAGATCAGCGTCCCCCAACCTTTCCAGCTTGGTGGTAATGGCTGAGGGAGGGGGAGATGGTTCCACATGAGTGGTGGGCAAGCATGTGCATGTGCAGTGCACAGCTCCATTTGTGCAAGTGACGAGCACGCCTGCATGCTGCTCGCACAAATGGAGCACACTTGCCCGTGCTTGTGTGCTGCTCACGCAAGTGGGGATACATGCACACACATTCGCCCACCACTTCCGTGGCCCAGTTCCAAAGGGCTCGAGGCCCGGTTGTGGGCAGCAGCCCAGGAGTTGGGGACCCCTGTCTTAGATCTTACCTTGTAATATCTTTGCTCCCTGTTAAAAGCTCTTCTCTGAGCTGAAAGAAACAAAACAAGTAAGTAAGTAAAGCTGGCATACAAAAACATTGTCTTAGTGTCTACTAACAAATTCAGTAGCGTAAAAAAGAAGGCAATCAATCAAAAGGTTACTAGGCACAATAATAAGTGAATCAGACATCTGACAGATTGCCCTGCTTCTCAGGCAGAACACAAGATGAGTAATTATTTGGATTGGAAGAAAACAAAGGAAGGTTTCCAGCAGTCTTTCTGGTTGACAGAATTATTATCTCTGAAACAGACTTAGATATGTTCAAATAGAGAAAGCAAGGGAAATGGATACTCTGGCACACTTATGCATTAGATCTCTCTGGTCAAAGAAAGGCCTTGCAGATTCATACCTTGCCTTCAAATATAAAGCTAGCAATATTTTATTGAAGAAGGAAAGGAAAATAATGTACCTTTCCTACTGACATTTAATTATTTCGATGGCTTGAAAAGCGGGGCAAATTGATAAGTCTTGAAAACCCTGTTCCCTGAAACCAAGAGGCTCAAGCCTCTCAGAAGAAATTCTATTGGACTTGACTTTACTCAAAGTCCAACTCAGAGCATCTTTGGTTAGATTCACTCTTTTTCCTCCAGCAAAAGAGAAAGAGGGACTCTCCAGGTAGCACAAGTTTGGAGAGGTCTCCAAGTCACAATCAGGTCTAAGGTCATAATCACTCATTCCAAGTAATGACTAAAGCCTGTTAAACAATTTCCCCAAGCCTCCAAGACAACCCCAAGTTCCCTCTGGAACCTAACAGGGCCCCTGTGACTGGAAGCACAGGGAAACTCTAAAGCAGTGGTTCCCAACCTTTTTTGGCCATGTCCCACCTAAGCATCTCTAAAATCTTGATGCTCACCCCCTTATGACATATAATTCATACTTCACTCAAAAAGTGAACTCTACGCATGCGTAGGAAGCCTAAAGACCATTAACTTGGTTTAAACAAGGTTCAAATTGCCCCCATTAAAAATCAATTGCCACCCTGTTGGGAGCCATTGGTCTAAAGCAATCAAGGGGTCAACTGATCATGACAAAAGACCAATGTCAATTATTCTCATATCCAACTCTTGCCACTATTCTCCTGAGACAAAAACCAGATCTGACATAACCTCCTATGTGCATCAAGGCCATCAATGATTTGAGTAATGTCATAGAGCCCGTGAGCCATCTCCATTTCCATCTCCAGGGGAAAAAAACAGGTTGAAGGAAATTCCACCACTAACTCAGAGCTGAATAACTCTGAATAGGAGCAGCAAAGTTCCTATTCTGCAGGAAAGCTAATTTAGGAATAGCAACCCCAACTGATCCCTGGTGCCCAAATTTAGAAATTGGACCTCATATCCAGTAATCTGTGGCACAGTGCACCTAAACCACATCATTGTTGATAATATAAAAGCAAAGTATCCATTCTTACAAAAGCTTTCAAGATGTGGCTTTGCAATTTTTGTCTACAAAGATTTACATCATTCATTGTCAAGGATAGCATTTTCACCTTTGTCATAGCAGTATAAACAGCCCTTGACTTACAACCCTTTGTTTAACAGTGGCTGAAAGTTACAACAGTGTTGGAAAATGTGATTTACAATCTGTAACTTGCACTTACAACTGTCACACTTCCCCCATGTCCATAGGATTGGCGTTTGGGTGCTTGCCACTGGCTCGTATTTATGACCATTTGCAGCATCACATGATCATGATTTGCAATCTTTTATGCTCATTTCAGCAAAACAAACAGCAAATTCCAATCCCAACTGTGGCTGTTGAGAACAATCTGTATCAGTCCTTTCCTTCTAGATATTAATGAGCAGCCCGACACGCATTCAGTCACATGAAAAAAAGAAGTGCTTGCAAAGAAGCGAGGGCACAGGGAGACATCACATAAGAGCAATGAAGTCCAAACACTCTACCACCTGCCTTCTCCAAGCAGTGACTAGAGCTTTGATCAACCAGCCATCAGATCCTCACAGAAAATGCTTTTCTGGAAATCTATAGGGTCCATCAGTCACCTGGAGCAGGCTGATCAAGTAGTTCCTGTCCCCTTGACAGGAAGGGTGACAAAAGCAAGCCTGAAAGCAATCAGAGTAAGTTCTCCATGACAATGGATTGATGTCAAAATCCTTCAATACTAGATCATGTCACAATTGCCCTGAGACAATTGCCCCAGATCATTTAGTCACCAGTGTGTATCAGATCAGTGGAAACTTGGGACAAGTTTATGGAGGCCATCAATTCCTAAAATGCTCTGGACACAACATTACAGATGACAAATTGAAATCCCCAAGAACCAGTAACCATAGGGACTTCAACATCAGCCCAGTGATAGAATCCCATTGCTCCAAAATGGAAGCAGCTCAGCAGCAGAGAGGCTGCAGAGAGGCAGCTATTCCCTAGAGGCCAACATAGCAATAGCAATAGCAGTTAGACTTATATACTGCTTCATAGGGCTTTCAGCCCTTTCTAAGTGGTTTACAGAGTCAGCATATTGCCCCCACAGTCTGGGTCCTCATTTTACCCACCTTGGAAGGATGGAAGGCTGAGTCAACCCAGAGCCGGTGAGATTTGAACCGCTGAACTGCAGCTTACAGTAAGCTGAAGTGGCTGCAGTACTGCACTCTAACCACTGCGCCACCTCGGCTCTTCATCAACCACAGCATCTTATATTCAATTATCTGTAGAGAACAGCCTCTGAGAGCTTTCAAAAACTCAGACAACAGCCTGTATCCATCCTCTTCTGGGTCTTGGCTAATGCAAAACCCAAAACCAGGTGAGCATAATTTCAAGAGAGGAACACATTCCTCTAAGCCCACCTGAACATCTCAGACATGCCAGGTTGACACTCTTATCCTTGGTAAGATCGTGAATGAGGGCAGCCTTTTCACATACTGATCAGGGGGTTCGACAGCAGTAGCCAGAGCAGAGAGCTATTGAGGATCCGATGACCAGGCCTCAAGAGTAGAAGCCAAAGGCCAGACACTGAATATTCTTTCAAATATTGGATCTGGTATCCCCAGGTATGGCCCGTCTTCAGATTCCTACCATACCTTCCTCTACCTGTTACCACTGTGATGTTCCTACCCACCTTCTCAACTCTCCAACTTTTTCCCCCTCCACACTTCCTACTGAGGGAATGGACGGTTAATCCTTTAATTGCTTTAGATAAGTAAATAATCTACCATTCTAGCACAGCATCAATAAAACAAATCCTTGTATTGTCACCTTATCACTTGAAATACCAACCTCTGCAGTCTGGGCAGAGCCACCGACAACGTCTCTGAGATGGTAGCATTATTTCTGGAAACTGTCCCTGACAGCTGGCACAGCACCTAGAAGAGATGGACAGGATCATTCCTTTTCACCCACATCATAATTCTTTCTTACTCTGTTGCTTATTGCAACCTGCTTTATCATTCCAAGAGATTTTCAAAACTGCTCTCCAAAGTTTTCCGCTATATGACCATATCCAGCTGTATTATCAGGAACAGTAGCGATCATATGGTGCCAATGATTAACTTGGCAACATTTTTATCCAATATTTGATTTGCTTTGTCATAATTCTTTGGCTATTACTGGCTAAACAGCACAATTCACTGAAGATGTCCAGGTCAGCGGAACATGGCTTAGCTTAGGATGAGGGTATCTTCCTGAGTATCTGCAGTAACACCATGTTATGAACATTGCATGCTATCAAAAAATATTACACGCTAAACCTTGAACACTGAGATTTATGTTCGGAATTTATTCAAAAGTGTGCATATTCATACACATAACAAAAGAATGTGACAGGCTGCTGAAATAGGATTCAAAGTATCAGCTAGAAACCCAGTTTCTAGCTGAAAAAAGCTTCCAAACCTCGGTGTCCTATCTGAGTGAAAATCAAGTTGTCTGTTTTTAAAACTTACATATCTACAGAACTGACTATTTATTGGAGATTATCTGATCCTCTCTTAGCAACAACATTCCTTGCCTAAACTGTTTTCTTTCTGCCTTCACCCTATTCAAATGTATGAGAGAATTTAGTCTTAATATAACTTCCTATATTCTATTACTTAATGTCTGGAGTTACTGCCACGGTTAGGAAAGACCATTAAAGTTATCAATTTGTAATTTGTTTCCTAAATAGCAGCCCTACAAAAAGCAACAAAAATCATTTAAAAATGATGAGAAACAAGGTACAAACATCCCAAAGTGTGGGAAATATGCTTTTGCCAATATTAATCTAACTCAAGAATGATTTGTTCTAAGTCAAAAATTGAACTTTTTTAAAGTCACAAAAATCTTGCACTATTTGGGAAAGAAGGCATATCACTTTATCTGTCCCACGCAGGGAATTATGACTAATTTGATGAGAAAAAATATGAAATTTATGCAGAACCCACTTGAGCTATTTGAAATAAGGCAGCTTATGCCTTCTTGCCTCAGGCTTTTATCTCTTGTTTAGCTATGGTTCAAAGTTACGATGGCACTGAACAAAGGGGAACTCATCACCTCCACACGACCTATTAGATCTCATCGATTAGGCCTCCTCCGAGTTCCATCTGCTGGTCAATGCCGACTGGCAACCACGCAGA